CTTCATGCAATGCCGTCTTTTCAGACCCAGTGAGATGTAAAGTTCTGTCACTTCCAGTCTTATATTTTATTCTCTTATGTGTCTGTAAGGCCACTGAAATGTGCAAATGGAAAATGATGACTCCCCGGAGTGCTTTTCCTCAATAAAGGACCGCAATGGGCAGTGGGAACGTGGGGTGTTCTGTGGTAAGGATGCCACGGAGGGAACTTACAGCCCCACCTACTTCAGAACCCGACATCTGCCTGGCAGCAGATTAAAGAGTGCGGAGAGTTCAAAGAATTCCTAGCATGAGACTGGCATTCTGAGATCTTGTCGATAGGCTGTGCAGGAGGAGATAACCTTGCCCAGCCCTGGACTGGAGATGTTCCTTTCCAGGCTAGCGCTGCTGCTAGTCCATGGATTCTTGTCCCAATTAGAAATGGGTAAATCCCGAGAGATACTCACTGCTGTCGGGAGGTTTTCATAAGAAAACTGACAGTGATCACAATAAATGGCATTCCTGCACTCATTGGCACACTGTCGCACCAGAATCTTTTGGAGGGCTTGTTAACACTCAGACATTGGGCCCCAGAACCGGGTTTTGTTCTAAAAATCTGGGGCGGGTTAAGAGAATTTGTGTTTCAGACAAATGCTGATGAGGCAGACAGCTTGGAGTATCGCTGCTCAAGGTTCACCAGTATGTGCCCTGCCCAGGCTTTACTTTCATCTTTCCATGAGCAATGTTTGTATTGTCTTCATCTTGATCCCCCCAATACCTAACACATAGTGCCACACTCATAGGGCTTACTCAGTATTTGTTGAGGGGAGAAGGTGAGTAATGCTATTTAGATGAAATTATTAATGTATACCAGATGCTTTCCACCATCATCCCCTCCCATGTTACCTCCTTCTGCTATCCTGCTGATGCTGAGAATCTGTCGTTTTCCTGCTGTCTTCTCATATTGGGTCTGTGTTTAACTACAGGCCACCTCAGGCCCGTTCATCTAGTTGTGTGTCACAGGGCGCTCGGTTCTGGGTTCCTTAGCAAGTCCAGTAGGAGAGGACCTAATACCAGGAAATTGGTCAATTTTTGCGTCAGTGTAGGTGACAGTGACGTAAGCAGTCAGGTGATGATTTTAACCTTAAATCTCAGGAGGGACCTTGCACTTTAGGAACCTTGATAAGAAAACATTTGGCTGAACCAAGGAAACACTCCTCCTGTGGTCTTTGCTTTCCTAGGTTTAGATATTCACTAAAGATTTGGGGAAAAAATAAGGAAAAAAGGTGTTCGTTTGCCCAAACATCCAAAGCATTCAGTTTTTGGTATTTTGTAACAATTTTTTGTAGTTCTACCTAAAAGTTAGTTTATTGTTAATGCATTTGCATTCAATTAAACTTATAGCTCTAGAGTAGGGGTGTCGAACTCAATCAGAGAAGGGGCCAAAATCTAAAATCCAGCCTAAATCGCGGGCCGAATGGTTTACTGAACAGTCATAAACTGTCATTGTGATGGAAACACAGCGGAGTGCAGTGATGACAGCGCGGTGCGGGCCACATTGCAAGGCCTGGCGGGACGGATTTGGCCCACGGGCCTTGTGTTTGACACATGTGCTCTAGAGGTAAAATTGCCAGAAGGAGACGGAAATCTTGTGTTGAATTACAGGGTTATTCTCATAATGAATGATATTGATTCATTACAGAATTGTTTGCTTTCAAGTTTTATCCAGACACCATTAGAGAGATGAATAGCACCTTCTCCCTCTTTCAGAATTGTTAGTGTGTCAAGTTCATTCAGGTGTGCTGCCCTGCACACACCTGATAGGCTAGCTGCTAGGCCTCCCCACTGCGACACTTGTCAGTTCTTCAGTGCCTGCTTTTACTGGTTTTGGGTTCATGGTTGTGTTTTGTTTTGTTGGGTTTTGTTTTGTTTTGCTTTTAGTGAATTTCTTCAATAAGAGTGAGCATGTGGTGTATATTGAGCCAGAGTACATGAAATTACCTTTCTTTTGCCTTTTTTTATACAAGCTCTTCATTTTTTTTTTAAAATAAAAACATATATTTTATTGATTTTTTTACAGAGAGGAAGGGAGAAGGATAGAGAGTTAGAAACATCAATCAGCTGCCTCTTGCACACTCCCTACTGGGAATGTGCCCACAACCAAGGTACATGCCCTTGACTGGAATTGAACCTGGGACCTTTCAGTCGGCAGGCTGACGCTCTATACCACATGTGTCAAACACAAGGCCCGCGGGCCAAATCCGTCCCGCCAGGCCTTGCAATGTGGCCCGCACCGCGCTGTCATCACTGCACTCCGCTGCGTTTCCATCACAATGACAGTTTATGACTGTTCAGTAAACCATTCGGCCCGCAATTTAGGCTGGATTTTAGATTTTGGCCCCTTCTCTGATTGAGTTCCACACCCCTACTCTATACACTGAGCCAAACCAGTTTTGGCAAGCCCTTCACTTTTAATCATTTCCCCTGAAAATACTATGATGCTAGTACAAATAATACAAATACTTTTCTCTCCTGACTTTTGTTATAGAGGAAACATCTGAAATGAGCTGGATTTTTATGACTTTATAGATAATTTTTTGTTGTCATTTTTTAGTCTAGGTGTTCATATTTTCCTTCATCTTTGCTATTTAAAAATGGTCAGGATATTCTGATATGTAGTTCACTTTTCACTGACTTGCTTGGAATGTAGCCCCTTGATCTTTGATCATTGCTTCTGTGAACAGCAATAGTAGCAATTAGTTGATTTTTAATTGGACATTCAATTGGACATTTACTTGGACATTTAACTAGAGAGACCTTGGAAATGCTAGTCTGCATCCAGTTTGTGTCTGATCTAGGGGACAGATTACATTAGTTCTGGGACATGTCTGAGATCCTCTAATCACTTCATGGTAGATCCAGGGGTCTTATTTGTCCAGTACTCACAAAAACCTCATTAATCTATCCTCAAGTGGTTCTCCACTCCCATGTTGGTGCTGAAACAATACAGCCTGTTCTTTTACCAAGATCTGGGGACTGCCGAAGGGAGTGGATGCTGGGGCCTACCCACGTCTGGGTATGCACCCCTGGAACTGGCCCCAGAATGGTGTCCACTTACAAAAGAGCCTTGGTATGAAATAGGCTACAGGCTTGATGTGTTCAAAACCACAGGCTCATTTTAGACCTAAGTGTGGTCCACCAAGTGATTCCAAGTAAAATAATCTGAGCTCCAAGAGGTTGTTGTGAGTTGTCATTCAGAGAGAACCTTAAAAACAGAGGTTTGGTCAACAGAGGCCTTTTAGCTATGAATTTGGGGTTAACTCTGAGCACCTTTATTCTCAAACTTGTGAGCCAGTTGAAAATCTTTGGAAATAAATCATTTAACTCCTCCTTTCCCCCAGCGACCTAGCATTCTATCTTTCACTCTTGCAAAAGTAGTTGCCTTCATCAGCAATCATTTTCTGTTCAGGTTAAAATTATAAAAAATCAGGAAAACACCAAAATTATTTTAAGCAAAATATAAAAATTAAAATAAACCAACATATGTCTATGAAACATGTATAACTATCAGTCAAAAAGGTAAGTGCAACTTTCATATATTTCTTAAAATACTTCAGCATACAAAATCTGGACAACTTAAAAAGATGGGGTTATGACATCTTTGAATATCCTTCCTCATTAGTTCATCCTTTACTTAAAAAGGAAAATCCTAATAACTACAATAAAACCTGGCCAGCTCTGGATCATCCCTTCATGAACATTGTACTCCATCATCTAATGTAATAAGCAAGAGAACCAAAGACTTTCATGAAAGATTTTGAAGTAAGGTTAGGTAATACCTGCTAATTTTGAATGGAAACCATCTAGTACTTAACTTTGACTAGATTCTGTGTTTCCCACACCTCTCCTCACACATGCATTCCTCTATAGGAAGTGTGGTTTCTTAATTGCTGTAAATATATTATGCTTCGTTCTTATTAATTTTCTCCATATTCATAAGTTTCTCTTTTGTGGAAATTCCAATGCTATTAAAACTGTCAAAGTGACAAATATTTTGGGGCTTAGCACCAATAAGAGAGTTAAAGGATAAAAGTGCTCATCTCACCTTTATGCTTCTTTTATAGGCCTTCTCTAACACATATTTTCTTTATTAGATTGTCATTTCAAAGTTTGGAATCTCTTTCACCAGCTAATGGTGGCTGATATTTTGCCTACAGAAGGCATTATATAAAAATTACCATGAGTACATATTGATAAACCAATGAAGCATTTCTTGAACTTGACAGTCTTTCATTTTTAATTCTTTTCTTCTGGAACTAGGTAACCAAATTTTTTTTTTTAAAAAGAAAGAAAATAAATAAAACCATTACTTTATTAGGAAAATTACTTAGCATTAAATGAATTGTCTTTTAGTACCCTTTTGAAAGCATGTTTAAAAACTGTGTCTCAGGCTTGGCATTACCTTTAACAAGTTCAACCTTTTGGGATTTGGAAAACCTCTTAAAATAGAGTTAAGCACGTTTATGATAATAATAATTCAATGACACATACCTTTTTCATCTTGAAATCTTGGATCTTTGATTCACTTTTTTTCTCATAATCACTCTAATTTTTCTTGTTAGTTTATTTTGTAAAAAGTTTCTTCCTTCCTAGTTCCTTCAATTAAGACCAATTTGGAAGTGGAAAAGTATGTTAATTTTTTAATAAATCTTTAAGGCACGCTTTACTGTATTTTTATTAACTGAGCCAGATGGCTCACAGTGAATTCTCTCTGACATAAGTCATCACAGGATTCAGTTTGGGACCCAAGTCTGATTCAGAAAGTGGCATGTATATTTAGTGGAAGAGTGCAGTTTGCATAAACTTGTATACATATATATAGAAGTAATATTTGTTACTGTTTGGATTTCATTTTTTTTGTTTTTGTTTTATGCTAAGTACAAACTAAGAACATATTTTCTGTCCCTCAAACTCAAGCTCTCAAGGTCCTTTTCAACAACCCCAAATTGTTCTCTCTCTACAGTTTGAAGGTTGCAAGAAGGCCTTTTCAAGGCTCGAAAATCTCAAGATTCACTTGCGGAGTCACACAGGCGAGAAGCCTTACTTGTGCCAGCATCCGGGCTGTCAGAAGGCCTTCAGTAACTCCAGCGACCGCGCCAAGCACCAGAGGACGCATCTGGACACTGTAAGAATGGCAGGAGCTTTCCAACTCTCAGCCCAAAGCCCGGTGTGCGGAAGTGCCCTTTTGATAGTGGGATGGTGAAGGTGTTTGCTTTATGGCCTGCAGGTTATAGGGGTAATGCCAAGGGCAGCAATGGAACCTGGTAAAGAGCCAGAGGGGCCTTGTTTGGCTCTTTCCTTATTTTTCTGTAGTCATGAGTATCCTAAATATTACAGCTGCCTGGGACTAAGGAGTTTTTTGGTGACCTCTATGTCCTATGTGGAGGCAGTTTAGGGACTGTCCTATAGTATATTTTAATACAGAGAATGACCACTACAGATTGAGCGTTACATTAAGTGTTCAAATATCAAAATGTACTAAGACACACAATATACAGGCTGTGGCAAAAGTAGGTTTACAGTCGTGAGCAAGCGAAACAATTTATTCTTGTATTATTATTTATTAATTATTGTATTATTTTCCATACCAACAACTGTACTTTTTTTCCCCCCTCTCTTATTTTGGTTCTTTTCTTCTTGACATAAACAAGTGGAGGCTGGCATAGGTTTTGAGAGTGAATGTGGCCTTTTGCTTTAGAAACTCCCTGGTATTCTCATCTTTAAGTAATCTAAAAAGAATCAGCAACTCTTTCCCCAGGGCTCAGTTTTATGCTTTTCATTATCACACCTTCTTAGAGCATTTACAAATGTCTTTGCTAGACTCCACACTAGCTTTTATATTCTCAATTATGTTGAATGTTCTTCTTTGCATTTCTCAGGTTTTGATGCCATTTTCCTTATATGAGGCCAGGTAGACTGTATGTAATTTCACTTCACTTAAAACCATCAGGATAAATGCATTATACACATCACAGATCTCTTATCCCATATTCTTGCAAATAATATATTCATGACAGTACTTTTTCAGTGTTAACATTCTGATGTCTATTATTAAACTACACCAGAATTTTAATTTTGAAAAGATACTGTGATTTCTACATACCTCCTCATACATATTTAATATTCTTCTGTTGTTATAGTTGACATATTTATTAAATTTTATATTAGCCTCTATTAGTCATATTGATAAAAGTCATTTTAACTATGTCATGTAACCTTTCTAAACAGAATTATCTCCTGCTATACATAAATGTGATGGTTTGCCTAGTAAATATCTGAAATATGATTAAAGTAATATGAATATAAGTTTGACCCTTCCTGCTTCAGCTGAATTGAATTAAGTGATTTTAGGACCAACAGAATAGAATATTAAATGAGTAAATTTGGTGAATAGCAGTATTTTTTAAAGGTAGAAATAGAAAAAAAAAAAGATATGTTATGTTAAAAAATGCCTTATTTTAATATGTCTAAAATGGTCTGGATAGAATCCAAAAACTTTTTCAATTTATCATTAAACATTATCATGGAAAAATGAACATTCATGAGACAAGATTGTCTTGAGAAATTGCTTCTACTCTAGCTAGTTATCTGTAGTTTGAAAGAACTATTGTGAAGCTAAGTGTTAGAGTTCTACTATACCCTTCTTTGCTTGGAGCTAAGTTTAGCTAATCAAACTTAAGAGCATTTTCTAAAATAATTTTGGAATTTTAAAAAATATCCCTTTTTAAAACTGTTGAGGAAAACTACCTAAGATAATGTTTTTATGATTCACTTCAATGTGGTAGCTTTTAAAACTCGTCTATTTTTATTTTTAAAAAATCACTTCTTTATTAAATATTTTAAAATATATTTTTTATTATTGATAGTATTACAGATATCTCCTATTTTCTCCCCTTTCCCTCTCTCCTCCCAGCCCTTACCCTCTCCCCTAGGTCTTCACTTCTCTATTGCCCTTGTCCATGGACTGTGCATATAAGTATATGAGTTATTTGGTTTATCTCTTCTCATGCCCCTAACCCCACATTGAGGCATGTCCGTCTGTTCCATACCTCCATGCTTTGGGTCTTATTTGATTGAAGTCATCATTTTTACTTTTAAGAAACAAACTACCGATGGTTTAAATTTTTATTGTGTTTAACAAAGTAATGTGCTTTCTTAAAATCACATAGAAATGAAACATTTGTTTTCAAGAGCACACTGTAGTTGCTGAAAAAATTTGTTATTTTAATTTAGGTGTTCACTCTCTTTCAGTAAGTACTCCTTATGCTAAAATGCTTTCAGAATTTTGGATAAAATATCTTTCTTCACTCACTGGAGTCTTTACTTACAGGAAAATGGTTTTTCCATAAAGATGACTGAGTTCATAATTCTAACTCTGAATAGTTTTAATTCAGTTTTCTGTTAGCATATTAATATCCAAAAGGAAATAATTTTACAGTACAAAAATAAAAAGGACTCCAGACTCAGCCTTAAGCTCCACACTTCACATTGCTCAGGAGCAGCGAGGAATTGGAGTAGCAAAACTTCTGTTCTCATCACACTCAGCCAACTGCTTATTCACATACCCCAGGCTTAATATCATGACTTCTCTACAACTAATACCATTAATGTCCCTCTGGCTGATTTTTCATGTGTCTGTTGTTTGAAACCTGTCTCCTACTCATTTTCTACTAATTTTCCCTTTTAATTCTCTCTCTGTCTTTTTCTGAATCAGGTTTCTTCTGAAACATTCCCAGTCTTTTCTGGACTTTTCTACAGCTTCTTTATACCTGAACTCTTAAAGAATGTGTGTTTCCTAGTTTCTGACAGTCCCAATGACTATTTTCAGGGGAACGTAACTGTAAGTATGACCAGATATGTTTACTAATAATTTACATGTTTAAAAAATGCCACAAGAGATTCCTGTAAAAGTACATTCTGTGGCAATTTCTTAAAAATCATCAAGGATAGGCAATCTCTTTGTTTCTTGAAAGTTTACTCTCCTTTCAGCCTTGATGCAAACTTACTGGCCTTTCTTATTAAAATGTCCACCTATTACCAAACATTTCATATCAGTTGATAATCGCTCATGCTAATAAATAGTCTTTAAGTAGACCTTCCCCAGTTATTTTTAGGATTTAACCATAGCCATTTCTTTCTGTCTTTCTTATTTAGAAACCATATGCTTGTCAGATTCCAGGATGCACCAAACGCTACACAGACCCAAGTTCCCTAAGAAAGCACGTGAAGGCTCATTCTTCCAAAGAACAACAAGCGAGGAAAAAGGTAATTTTTAAAAAGAAGTTACATAGTCAGAAAAAGCAGTTAAATTCTTGAATACTGGGAGCTCCTGCAGGGCATTGGAAATTCGTATACTTTTCAGGGTCTGATATGTGTTAGACGCTTTGCAGAGAGAAGTCTTCCATAAAATAACAGGCATCCTTCATTTTATTGGGTTCTGTTTATTGCTCTTACCACGTATTGTTTTTCATAAGACCATCCACCAGCCAAAAGATTGACTCCCTGAAGGCTCAAATGATGGTTACAATTTTTTTTTTTTTTTAGCAATAAAGTATTTTTTAAATTAAAGTATGTACATTGTTTTTTTTAGACATAATGCTACTGCACACTTATAAGACTATACTTATTATATGTATTGGGAAACCAAAAAATACCCGTGGCTTGCTTTATTGCAGGGTTCTGGAACCAAACCTGAAATATCTGTGAAGGATGCCTGTAATAGCAAGGTTGTGATATGTATAGCTGATATAGCCTGATATGAATAGGTATCAGAGAAAATTAAGTGTAAGTCTCCTAAATTAGAAAATAATAAAAGGCTTTTATGGAAATTAAGTCCAAATAACAAGAATATTGAATTGGAAAAAATAACACAACAGAAATCCTGTCTGGAGATAAGTGCTTTTTCACAAAATATAGATGGACTAAAATAATTTTAACTCCAATGAAGAAGGTAGGTTAGTCTCTAGGATGAGTAACAATAGAAGCATTCCTCCCTTTAAGCTTAGGGAAAAAAATATTTATTGTCCTGGCCAATTTAGCTCTGTGGTTAGAGCATCAGACATCAGACCAAAGACTCCATCTCGGTTTGATTATGAAGTCAAGGGTCTGTATCTGGATTGCAGGTTCCCCACCCTCAGTCAGGGCATGTATGGGAAGCAACCAATAGATGTGTCTGTCTTGCGTCCATGCTTCTCTCTCCCCCTACTTCCTCCCTTCCACTCTTTCTAAAAATCAATGAAAACAAAATATCTTCAGGTGAGGATTTAAAAGAAATGTTTCTTAATAGGTACAGTGAATGAAAATATGAGAAAGGAATTGAGCCTAAATTTACTTTGATATCAATGAGGGATCAATATATCTTTCAAAGCTTATAGAAATCATAGTATTTTATGTTTAGAAGCAATGCTAAAGATCAACCAGCCAACACACCTGACTTGTTCTCCTGACCTCATAAGACCTCCAGCAAGTGGTTGGCTGTGCTGTGCTTCAGTGCCTCAAGAGATGAGGAGCTTACCACCTCACAAGGCATCTTATATAATAAAAGCCTAATATACTAAGTGTCCTGTCGTCCAGCAATAAATCAAAGTGTAATATGCTAATGATATACTAAATCACAACCACTTGCTATGTTGTGCACTGACCACCAGTGGGCAGACACTCCAACTGGTAGGTTAGCTTCCTGCTGGGGTCCAGCAGATCAGGACTGAACAAGATGGGTTGGGCATGCCATGGAGCCCTCCTGCAGTCCTTCTTCAGTCCCTGGTGGGGTCCCTTGGCCTGGCGGGCACCCTCTCGCAATCACAATCTGGAATCCCTTGGGTAATGTCAGAGAGCCAATTTCAGCCGGATCCTGCAGGCCATTCCCCTCAGGAGGACGCCTGGTGCAGGGCTCACTGCTGGTGAGCACTGCTGTGGTGGTACAAGCCCCTCCCAATTGGGACTGTTTGGGCACAAGCCCCTGGCAAGCACAGTGGGGCCACGTTGAGCTGGAGTGGCTGGTAGGAGCTGCAGTGGCGTTGGACTGTGGGTTTCAGTCTTATGCCCAAAGGCTACCCCAAGTGACACCACCTGTGCACAATTTCGTGCACCAGACATCTAATTTCCTAATAATTGAGTTTGTAAACTTTTGGACCAACCCATATACATATTTTGACTATGGCAAAAATATGTTCACTTGACTGTGGTTTTTTGAATATTTCATTTGTGTTCAGGTGGGTACCTGATTCATTTAAGGGTCCTTCATAACCAACTTAAGGGAAGTTTGAGACTCAACTTATTTCAAGTGATTGAACCTATTGGCTGTGGTTTTAAAGTAACCATGAATTCTAGCTAATTAGAGTCTTGTATTCTTTCATGGTTTTTAGGGATATAACCTTTTTATGTTGGGAAATGCTCTGTAGTCTTTTTGTTACTCTTCCTTGAGAGGTATTAGCACAAAGCCAGTTAGTTGAGGGCTTATATATGGAAATAATTTGACCTCTTCCCTGTTAGAAAAATGTCCACTAAAAGGATGTGATAGATATTATTATTATTATTATTATTATTATTATTATTTTTAAATCCTTATTTTTGAAAGTCTTATATAAATCCCTTCCCCTTCACCCCATTAACTTCTTCTAGTCTGTCCCCAACCCCCACCCTAGGCCTTCACTACCCTATTATCTATGTCCATGGGTTATGCATATATGCATAGAAGTTCTTTGGTTGATCTCTTCCCATCCACCCACTCTTCCCCACCTTCCCTCTGAGGGTCAACAGTATGCTCCATGCGTCTATGTATTTGGATCTATTTTGTTCATCAGTTTATTTTTTTCATTAGACTCCACATATGAATGAGATCATGTATACTTATCTTCCTCTGACTGGTTTATTTTGATTAGCATAAAACTCTTCAGGATATTCTTAATTGTAAGCAAACCCACTCTAGTAAGCCAATTGTTGAAATCATTTTTTTCTCTATAAATATAGTTAGGTCTCTTTAATTAGAATCCCAGTAAGTTGATAATAGATGATTATTATCAACATATAATAGTATCAACAATAATAGATGATCATTTGTGTGGATTAGATATGTTCTTTTATTTTGAAAGAGCAAAGGAACTAAATGAGTAATATTACAATATAAATAAAGTTGTAAGGAGATTTTTAATATTCTTTTTTTTTTTAATCCTCACCAAGGATATATTTTTTCCACTGATTTTTGAAGAGAATGGAGGAGGGAGAAGGAGAGGAGAGTTAGAGAGAACCATGGACTGGTTGCCTCCCATACATGCCCCTGCTGGGGCAGGGAAAACTGCAACTGGGCTATGATGCCCTGTTCAGGAATCGAATCCTAGGTCTGCAGGTGAATGCTTTAACGCCAGCCAAGTTAATAGTGTTAAAATAATACATCATTGTTGCATACCATTAACGTTCATCAGGGCTACAGCCTAATGGTTTTTGTCTTTGTCTGTGTATATCTTATAACCTTGAAGTGATAAGTTGTGTTTGTTAAAAACAAACAAAAATCTTGTGATGAGAGTTTTTCCCTCTAAATATGATCATTCTCCAGGTCATAATTAGGTTTTACTGTAATGGCAAATCTGACCTGAGATTGGAGAACACCTTCGTAGATAGTAACAGTTGTCATGGATATGACAGAATAGAAGTCCCATATTGAGACAAATAAGCTACAATATGTAGTGACAGTGAGTATGGAAACATAATGTACATTTTCAGGAAGTGTTAATGGTTTCTATTATTCAAACATGGTACATTTCAGCCTCTATAAAGGAAGAGTAGTTTATGTGAAAGATGCTCAGAGCACTATTTTAAAAAAGAAAATCAGACTTTATGATTACATATTATAAATTTATAGACAATTTGCAGACAAACCTTCAACAGGCAATCTAGCTAACAAGGAACAGTATTATAATCTAATGTCAAGTATTTTAGTATTGTCATAATCTTTTCTTAAGTAAAATAACTTTTGTCTCTGATGATTTAGCTTTTGATGTTCGCTCAGTTTTGTGCAGATGATTGAGTAGGATTTGGCTGACTTTCATTGCCTGGTCTTTAGTGACAAGTTTACTGTGTTTATTCCCTGAATTCTAACCTATCTTTTTAATATAAAGATTTAAAAATCCTTTATAGATCTATGATGGATTAATTTATGGAGATTAAAATGAAAAAAGTTGTTCCACTCAATAAAAAGGGGAAATGTCCCTCCCAGGAGAAACAGTGCTAATAAACCTGAAATCAGTCAATCCGCATGTTCGAACCTTGTGCTGGTATACTGGTGTGTAATATTTACATGGTACAATGTTGTTACTAGACCTTGGAGAGAGTCTAATTGCTAACTCACATCAGGGCTTGGTATTTGAAATATTTCCTGGCAGCAATAATAATAAAAAAAAAATGTAAGAAACAATAAACCTTTTAAGGCAGAATTAAGATTATTTACGACTTTAATTAAAATTGAAAACTGGCATTATTTCAAAAAAGCCTTTACAAAAATGTGAATTCATCAAAAATAACCATAAAAATTCCAAGGTGATAAAGGCACAGTGGAGTAATGGTCCCAGCCCTAGGGAATTGTTTTGTTGAAAAGAATAAAACCCTTTCTGTCACACCCTGTTAGTCATGGACTCATTTAATATCCCTGGCCTGCCTGCCTCTAATCCTTTTGTTAACCCCTCTCCCCCCCAGACACTAAATGACATTATTTTGGTCTTACCATTGCTGGCTTTATGAGGCCCAACTCTGAAATCAGGGCAATGACAAGGCACCTTGAGCTTGAAAACAAATGTTTATAAGGAGGGGCAGAGATCTTGTAAGCTATGCCCTGGCCATTGGCATGTGGCCCTTTCCCACACCTGTGGGGTCCTACTGAAAAACCAAGGACCTGAGATCTCAGCTAGATATTATTTATACAGAAAAAAAGAAAGAAGAAGGGGAAAAACACTTCTCTACAAAGGAATTGGGATAATTTGGCTCATTGCATGCAGGGAGTAACTTTCCTCTTTGTCTAATGTGTGCACATCCACACATCCCATCAGCTTTGTGCAGACTTCCTCCGTGGAATGTGCTTTGCAGATCTCGAGTTTATTAAGTAGAGGGCTACACAGATAAATAAGAAGCGAAATACTCAAGTCACCAGTGAGGGTCTCTAGTGAGAGTCGAATCTGGCCTGCCGAGCTGAAGGTAGAGTCTGTCCTCCAGCCCTGGCTGACAGTGGGTGGTGAAATGAGAGAAAATTAAGGCAATGAACCACTTGGAATTTTCCT